TTCAGCTAAAAAACTCAGACACTACTTTCTCCAAAACACTTCTTATGTCTGGAAAACCAGGGTTAGGAGTATATTTTACAAAAACAACCTGGAGCATTCAGGAAACTTACAGGTGAAATCCTTCAAACACTTCAGTGCTACACTGAGAACAACCAGAAGCTATGGCACCTTTATCTTCCGTCCCACAGTTCTCATTATCAATGAACATTAATGCCTTTTATACTGGGCAGAGAACATTACGCCTTATATGACAGACAAGCTATGCAGTAGAAAATAAAACAATAAGTTGGTATTTCCTGTACAGCTTAAAAATAGATGGCAGTAGCATGTATATTTAGTTATGTGCTGTAAGAACACGACAGTCGTCTTTGTGTGGGTTTTTTTTTTTTTGGCTTAGCAGTTCAGACTTTGCTAGCCCTTTGTTGCTGATGTGCAGTGTTCAGGCTGGCAAACAGTGCTCAGCAGCTGATAAGCTTGGACGGTATTGAGGTGCTGGTAGCGTGAGGCAACCACTGTTGCTATTGTCTGAAATGCCACAGTTTCACAATGCTTTTCAAAAGGTTACTGCACACCTCAGACTAAGGTCACTGTGGGACTGCAAAAGAGCAGAGTGGGAAGCAATAAAATTCCAGAGTCTTAATTTTTGCACTTTAAAGAAATAAGGGGAATCTGGAGATCTGCTGCAAGAATGTGGAAGGAGAGCTGAGAAGAAACAAAGATACAGTGGTAATCTTAAAACAGCAGCAAGCATACTAAGAGCTCTCCTCTAAGGGCAGGGGGTTTGCTGACTTTTAGACCTCTCCCTATTAGGTCATCAGTGCCTGGCTCCAACCTTTGCTCTTTCTGCAGTTCTGGAAACTGTCTTCAGTTTTTTCCAACACAAGGGCAAAGTTGTGTGATGAGAATGAGGCCATTGTACTAAACCTCCCACATGTGGATGCAGCACAGAAGACTCAGAGAAGTGGCTGATGTTGCAAGAATGCAACAGTCTGCATTGTTCAATGTACATTCATCAAAACAGCCTTTATTGAGTGAATAAGGCCTGTTTGTTGTTTGTTTAAACAGCTTTTTTTGCAGGACATACATCTCAAAACAAGATTTGGGATAGATAATCTAAGCTCCGCTGCGACACATTAGACAGCGATGAGGGAGCTGTTGTCAAGTCGGAGCTGTTATCGAGTCGGAGCTGTCAGAGAGCAAAGCTCGTGGGAGAGGTGGAGGAGCAGGAACATGAGACTATGAAAACTCAGGGCCAGCAGAGCTGAGTTGCTTTCCAAGTGTGATGAATCCTGGACATCTTTTTGGTAGCCCCCAATAATACCAGTGTTGAGGTGGTCTGCATGCAGGAATAATGGGAGATTTGACTAACTCTGAAATTACTCATATCTCAGGAGAAGTGTGTCTGGATCAGGTCAGGGGGTGCCGGATGTATTAAGAAGAATTCCCCTGTTTCATTGTTAGGAAACGCTTTCTTGTTTCCTTGGTGCTTGGGTGAGTTATGCAGTAGCATCTTTAGTGGTTTCTTGCAATTGCCATGCATGAGTAACTTCTCTGTTGATACTTAGGGGTACAGATTCTTAAATATTCAGGAGTATAATGTGCAGAACGTGAATAACGTGTTCTACCCACTGTCTTGGGGGTTGTCCTGGGGCCAGCTGAGAGCTTCAGCCTCTTTCTCTAGCTGTGGAAGAAAAGGACTTGGTAACACCTCTATCCTCTGGTTACCCAAGGTTACTCTCTTATGCATTTGCTAACATGTCCTTCCTACTTCTATGTAAATGCTTGATTTTTCTTAGCTTTGCTTCTGTTGCACCCCACCACTGAGGGATCCAGACTATGGGTCTAGTAAGCCAGCGGTTCCCAGAAGGACGGCTTTCAAGCTACTTAGGGTAGTTTCTTTCCTCTTTGTTACAGCAGATGTTTTAGCTGCTAGCTAGCTGTGTTTGCTCCTACTGACAAACACCAGCATCCTGTTGGTGTTGCTGCAGTACCAGCTCTGTGTCCCTGGTAAGAACTGTTAACTTTGTTAGATGAAGCTTGTGCCCATTATTGTGTTAGATGCAGCTTGCACCCTCGCTCCCTGGGCTGTGTCGTGCTCTGAAAAGAGAGTCGCTGACCATCCTCCTCCTCCTCCTCCTCCTCTTCTTCCTGGCCTAGTGTAGGGGGGACCCTGCATATTGCCCAGAGAGCACTCCAGGGAAGAGTGGTTGAAGCACTGTGTCATGGAAATACCGGCTGCGTGTGTTGTGCTGCCAGGGTGTGAGAGCACGTTGTGGCTGATGCTGGTGCAGGTTCGCTCAGGCATATTCTTGCCTTTCGGGCTCAAACACTGGCAGGCTCCGTCTTGTCCCACATACCAGAGCCTGGACGCTCCTGGGGCTGCTGGGGAGAGTCCCAGGAAACCTGACTGTAAAATGGAGATGTAACTGCACAGCCAAATACTGAAATCCTTTGAAGGTCGCATAATAGGCTGGAAGGGCCCTGTCCTGACATCTGTTTCAGCCAGGTCAGTTCAGTAACTGTGTATCATCTTTTCCCCATTTTTTAAGATAAAAAACTGAAGGGGACCATTAGATCATCTGTCCTGATCACTACCTGACGCTTAGTCCAGTTAACAACTTACTGAACGGACAAAGCTGACAAAATATGTAATAAACTATAATTGGAAGGAATCTTATAGTTGGTGTAGGTGTTAACAGCCAGAGGAAAGCTGAGGAGTCGCGCTCTAATCAGGGCACACTGTCTAAAATGCTACCGGTTAACAGAGTAACAAAAAAGCAGAAAAGCGCTCTTGTTTTCTTTCAGATCACTGCCAAAGTTTTCTCTGCACGGAAATGGTGTTCTTTTTCATTATTGAAAAAGGAGTATGACAGCATGGCTAGGCTTCCTGCTAAGATTTGGTATCTTCCTACATAGCAGCCAGTGGGCAGAAAGCATTCACCAGGAAATAGCTGAAAATCTTCCTGGAATATTGCTGCTAGCCTGCCCCGAGCTGGCTGCCTTTGACAGCCCCAATAGAGATAACCTCTAAGAGAGTCTAGTAATTGGGTGTTTATCTGAATCAGTGGCCGCTCTCCTTTTGACTTCAAAGAGCTGGATCAGTAACTTGTTGCTGTCAGTCGCAGCACTTAATTTTATATCCTGCCTCTTGCCATGTTCCGTCCGAAGCGATTTGTTGCCCGATTTGTAGCTGCTGTTCAGACGCTGTCACTTAAGCCGCGCGGCGTTAGGAGGTGAAGGTGCTCTCCGAAGGAACCCGCAGCCCGGTGGATTCGGCTGGGCCAGCCTCGGTGTCCCTGCGCAGCGCGGCGTGCTCACCCGCGGCTGCGCCAGGTTTGGACCGTGTGGGTGTGCAGAGCCGAGTCGCCAGCCCGGAGGAATCAGACTGCTTTTAGCAACTGGCTGCTGTGTTGTAGTGATTGCTAATCTTGTTCAGGGATACTGGAGGCCGGCGAAGCTGAGTACAGGAAAGATTTAGTTTGTTCACAGGTTGGGAATGGCTTTGCGTGCGCAGGTTGTTAAGCTGGTTGTACCGCGCGCAGCTCAGTATGTAAAAACCACATGTGAAATGCCTCGTCTGCACCATCCGCAGCAGGTGAGGCTAGACGGGGCGCTGGAAACCGAGAGCAGGCAAAGCGTTCCCGCTGCAGGAAGAGGCATGTCCATCGCTCCGAAAACTCAGTAACTTGTGTTCCTGAGCCCAGCTCGTCTGCTGTGTGGGAGGGCAGCTGGAGGGATGTAGGCACTGCAGACAGTGTTTCTCTTCCTTTTTAATTTTCCACTGCTCAGTGATACAAAGGCGCTTCCCCATTTTCTGAAACTGGCCGGGATCCTGCAGAAGTCACAGTGCTGCGCTCCGCGTTACAAAGGGCAAACCTGACTTAACAGCCAGAAAGTTGTCTCAGTTGTTTGAATCA